AATTATATTGTCTTCAACGTTCCAGCGAATAGGTTTAAGCTACAAACCTATCACCTAGCACATGTAAACTATTACAAAGGTTTCTAGGATTTGCCAATTTCTACAGGCGTTTCATTAGGAATTACAGCCACTTGCCTCACTTCCACCAAAAGCCTGTTCACCTGAAGCAGAAACAGCTTTTAAAAAACTTAAGGAATTTATTTGCCACAGCCCCAATTTTAATTCAGGCAGATCAGAACAAACAGTTTGTTGCTGAGGTGGATGCCTCCAACATTGATGTGGGAACAATGCTGTCGTAGCGGTCTGGGACCTCTGCCAGACTACAACCCTGTACTTTCTTTACGCGCTGCTTGACTACAGCCAAGAGAAATTGCGCCGTGGGAGACCGGGAGGGTTCGGAACAACCCTTAACAGTATGGACAAATCATAAAAACTTAGCATATTTACATAGTGTTAAAAGACTAAATGCTTGGCAAGCAAGGTGGTCACTGTTTTTCGCTCATTTTAATTTTTTCATTTCATATCGCCCAGGTTCTATAGAAATATTAAAACAGACACTCTTTCTCAGCAGTTTGAGTCAGGTGAAGAAACCATGGAGGTGGCACCCATTCTCCCTGCTAACTGTGAATTGGGAGTAGTAACGTAGGAGGTGCAGGACACCATCACATGGACTTAGATAGAACCAGATCCTGGCATGGGTCCAGCTAACCGGCAGTATGTATGTATGTGGGAAGACTGCCACCCTACTCAAGAGGTATTTTTGGTGGGAGACATTAGAGAGATATGCAAGAGACTATGTGGCAGTTTGCACCGTCTGATCTAGAAATAATGATAAGAAAATCAACCCCAGGCTGGACTGTTACAACCACTATCCATCCCACATCGCCCGTGATCGCACATCGCCTTAGATTTTGTCACAGGACTCACAGCTTTTTCAGGAAAGATATAGTCATACTCATAATCATAGTCCATTTCTTCAAAGCCGCCGATTTCAATGCCTTGGAAAAATTGCCCACAGCGTCCGAGATTGTCATCTTTTAGTTGAACATGTTTTTAAATTACATGGCATTCTGGCTGAGATTGTTTCTGACTGGGGCCCCCAGTTTACCTCCCACTTGCGGCAAATGTTCTGTATTGCCTTAGGAGCCAAAGCCTGTTTAAGCTCCGGTTACCACCCCCAAACTAACGGGCAGACAGAACGCCAAGAACTCGAGACTACCTTTCGTTGTGTCACTGGCTAGAGACATTCCACTCAGCGCTATCTCCCACTAACTGGCTCCCCGCTTCACGGGGAAAGTCAAAAAGCCCCCAAACAAACCAAAACCCCCCCCCAAAAAAACAAAAAACAAAATGGTGGTGGCTAACCAACCGGACATAGTAGTGGTAGACAAGCAGAAGAAGACCGCTGTAAAGACAGACATAGTGATCCAAAATGAAAGCAACATAGAAGAAAGAACAAGAAGCTGAAGAAGTGTCAAACTCGAGAAGACATGGAGGGTCAGAGTAACAGTGGTCCCAGTGATAATCGGAGCACTAGGTGCAGTGACTCCCAAGCTCGGTGAGTGGCTGCAGCAGATCCCAGGAAAAACATCTGAGATTGCTGGGTAAAAGAGTGTCGTTTTAGAAACAGCTAAGACACTGCACAATACCCTCAAGCTCCTAGGCCTCTGGTAGAGGTCCTAAGCTTGAAGGATATTGCGCCTCCAGGAGCGAGAGGTGAATTGTTATAGTTTGATTAGATTATTTTGCATAGGGGAATTGCAGTAAATGTAGTAGTAAATAAAGTAATTTTTTTAATTTACTGAAAATAAGTATGTCATCATTTTCAAAATTCAATGTAGTGTGCATTTCCTTGGCAATGCAAGAAATATTTTCTAAAGATCTCTTTCCACCTAAGTGCCACCTAAGGTGAGAGCCTTATATTTTCTTATGAACTGTAAATTATAGGTTTTATATAACCAGTGACTGGCATGTATTTCCAAAGAAATGCAGGTAGATTAAGAATAGTCTTCCGATTTTCAAAGCAACAGTTTTTAAAAATTAACCTTATTTATAAAATGTGTAATATTGCTAAGAGCTTCACAATACCTGCTGATGTAGCACAGTTATTAGAAAATTTCTATTATGCCCATCCCACATTGCTGTCCATGCCCTGATGAGTGGTGTGCATAATGAAAAAGTGACGTAAGTGGTTGACATAGGCTTCTATATAAAATGAAGGAGCCATGAATACAAATAAGAAAAAATGAGGCAGTTATGGGGGGCTTTCTTGTCAGATATTTGCTTATGTTTATCTGTCTGTTAATGATTTTGTTGTTTTCCTTTCTGGAGTCTTCCTTTCCACCTTCATCCTGTAAATTGCAAAAGAAATTTATTCTCAATGGCATACACAGGCCTGGAGATGTAATTCTGGGAGGGTTATTTGAAGTCCATTACAGTTCTGTATTCCCTGAGCGGACGTTCACCTCAGAGCCAGATCAGCCTAACTGCCATGGGTAAGTCTCATTCGTGTAGCTGACAAAACTATTCTCACATAAATATTATTATTATTTTGTAATATTAATAATTATAATAATAATAATTATTATTATAATAATAATAATTATTATTATTATTATTATGACGATGACAACGACGACGACGATGATAATAATAATAATAATAATAATAATAATAATAATAATTATTATTATAGTTTAGTTGCTCTTTTTCATTATTTGTGCTTTTTAGCATTGACACCCCCGGATTCAGACATGCCATGACCATGGCCTTTGCTATTGATGAGATTAACAAGAATTCAAAGCTACTTTCTAATGTGACTCTGGGATACAGCCTTTATGACAATTGTGCTACACTTGAGATTGGATTCAGTGCAGCATTGTCATTAGCCAGCGGTCAAGAGGAGCAATTTTGGCTTCTGGAGAACTGTTCAGGGACCCCTTCAGTTGTGGGGATTGTGGGTGATCCTTTCTCCACATTTTCTATTGCTGCCTCAAGTGTTCTTGGTTTATTCAAGCTTCCTATTGTGAGTTTCCCAATTCTACTTATTTGTGTGCTTCTTATATACTGCATTTTAATTGATCTACATTGTTAAATAAAATTATCTGAATGTCCCTTGCAATTTGCACAATTGGATTTTATAATATATGCTTCTTGACAGGTGAGTTATTTTGCCACTTGCTCCTGTCTGAGTGATCGACAGAGGTTTCCATCCTTCTTTAGAACAATCCCAAGTGATGCTTTCCAGGTAGAAAGTTTCACAATAAGAATTAAGTTTTTATCTGAGGTTAATTACTGACAGAAAACTTAGACATGAGCCAAACCAGTCAAAGAAATACTTTTTGCAAAATTTTGCATATTTGCTTTGAACATTTTTAATTAAAATACAATGTATTTAGGTGAAAGGTGTTATCATGAGAAGTTAACTTTTATTTAATGTTATTTTTTAAACTTTCATTAAATTAACTTTTTGATATTAGACATGAACAAGCAAATTTTCACTAAAAGAATATTTACACATGTACACTAACAACTTCAATCTCTTTTTATGTAGGTCCGTGCTATGATTCAGATTCTAAAACACTTTGGCTGGACATGGGTAGGTCTGCTAGTCAGTGATGATGATTATGGACTCCATGTTTCCAGATCCTTCAAGTCTGACTTTCTTCAATTAAGTGGAGGTTGTTTGGCCTACTCAGAGATTTTACCTTGGGAAGATCATCGAAATGAATATAAGAAAATTGTGGATCTGATGGCCAGATCCACAGCTCGTGTTGTCATTGTGTTTGCACTTCAAATACACCTGATTCATCTCATGACAGAGGTTAGGGAAAATATCATAAAACACACTGCAGGTAATGTATTACAAGAGAGTAAAAACATAACTGCAATGCAATCCACAGGTGGTGAAACAAAATGTTACAGGCTTGCAGTGGATTGCCAGTGAAGCTTGGACAGTAGTTGGTGGACTCCATACCCCTGAATTTATGCCATTCCTTGGTGGAACACTAGGCATTGCCATCCGACGAGGAGAAATACCAGGCTTTAGAGACTACTTGTTAAAAATTAATCCTGCAGAACAGAACAGTGCAAACAATATGGTGAGTGGGTAACTTAATAAACTTCAAGTCAAATTTTGTGTTGGTTATTTTTGTTGACCTGTTTTTGTTTCTCTGGTTGTTGTGCATTTTAGGTGAAGCAGTTTTGGGAAGATACATTTCACTGTAGATTTTCAGCAGACTGGTTGGAAGATGGTGGGACACTTTGCACTGGAGAAGAAGAGCTTAGGAATGCTGAGACTGAACTTTTGGATGTGACTGAACTCAGGCCCGAGTATAATATTTATAAAGCTGTGTATGCTCTTGCACATGCCCTTGATGACATGCTGCACTGTGTTCCAGGGAGAGGACCTTTTATTGGGCACAGCTGTGCCACTTTGCAAAAATTAGAGCCATGGCAGGTTTGATGTCATTTTATACTCCAGTCGTTCATATTTTACAAAAACACAAACAAACAAAAAATATTTTGTGAGATAACATTATTGTGGAAGAAAGATAATTGTGTAGCAACTAATAATGTAGTTTCATGTCTCACCGCTTTAAAGAGACAATAGCAAGAAGTTTTGCTATTAATTACTGTATGATTGTACATTGATGAACTAAGTAATAGACTTAATTCCAGGTTGCTCCAATAATTGGTGTATAAAAGAAGAAAAAAGTTCATAAGCCTTTATCTATCACTTTTATAGCTGATGTATTACTTGGAAAAAGTCAACTTCACAACTCCATTTGGTGATCAAGTATTTTTTGACGAGAATGGTGATGCCTTACCTATCTATGATATCATGAACTGGCTGTGGCTCCCTGATGGAAGCACTAAAGTTCAGAATGTGGGTGAGGTTAAGATGTCAGTTTTCAAAGGTGAAGAAGTCACACTTGATGAAAACAAAATCTTCTGGAACTTTAAATCAAAAGAGGTAATTTCTCCTATTCGTCCAATTTGCTTTCAAATAAAAGGATTGTAGAGTACACAATACATGTATGACTGGTGTTGAATAACTTTTTAAAAAAAAATTTTTTTCCCCTTAAGCCACCTACATCAGTTTGCAGTAAAAGCTGCCCTCCAGGAACACATATAGCAAGGAGGCGGGGAAAGCCTGTGTGTTGCTATGACTGCATCCCTTGCTCTGAGGGAAAGATCAGCAATAACACTGGTTTGTATCAATTGACATTATAATGCATGAGATGTGCGATGTTTCTTTGTGTTTAGCAGTGTACGGTCCTATGGTGGCTTTTATTAACACCGAGCCAAAATTATTGTGAGAGTGGTTTCCAGTTACACATCAATGAAAATATTACTAGATGAAAATACTGACTGTCCATTTTATTGTACAAGACACTCATAATAGGACAAAACAGTGTGAAACCAAATGAAGAAATCAATGTCAATTCTTCCCATGTTTTTTAGACTCCTTAGAGTGCACCAGTTGTCCAGAGGACTTCTGGTCAAGCCCCCAGAGAGATCACTGTGTTCTTAAGAGAACAGAGTTCCTCTCCTACCATGAACCCCTGGGAATCTGCTTGACAACCACCTCACTGCTGGGCACATTTATCTGTACTGTTGTTCTAGGAATTTTCACATATCATCGCAGCACACCTGTGGTGCGTGCAAACAATTCAGAATTGAGCTTTCTGCTTTTAGTGTCACTTAAGCTGTGTTTCCTGTGTTCACTGTTATTCATTGGAAGACCCAGACTTTGGACATGCCAACTGAGACATGCAGCATTTGGGATCAGTTTTGTGCTTTGTGTCTCATGTATCCTGGTGAAAACTATGGTTGTTTTGGCTGTGTTCAAAGCCTCCAAGCCAGGAGGCGGAACCAATCTTAAGTGGTTTGGTGCTATGCAGCAGAGAGGGACAGTTCTGGTTCTTACTTCCATTCAAGCTGCAATCTGCACTGCCTGGCTTGTCTCTTCCTCTCCAACTCCACATAAAAACACCCA